TGTTAAAAATTATAGGGTGTTCTATTTAAAGAAAACTCAAAATATTGGGTCAAAAAGTTGTTTTTTTTTTCAGCACTTTCTAAATAAAAATTACATGCGGCTACAATGTCAACAAACACACTTGCAAGTACATCTATAAAGTATAGTGAAAGCTGCATGTCGATATCTTTTTACGTTACGTTAGTAGTTATACGTTTTAAAATGTATCAATTTACAGATAGACACCTTGTATTATGCCGACAATATACAGGGTGGGCCACCAGTAACGACTCGGTCTGTAGAGTCAAAATTATATGAATTTTTTAAAATCTGTTTTCACACTAAGATGTATATCAGAAAAGGTACCAATTTAAAAATAATTTCAATTATACAGGGTTCTCCAAGAAAGTGATAAATATTCAATTTGGGTTTTCTTAAATGGAACATCCTGTATTTTATGTTATATTTCAATTGCTCTCGCTTTTCCCATTATAACAATATCAAATATTATGATATTACACGAGTATTTCACACGCTATAGCGTTTTATGTGAAAATCGTATGAATTTCATTGACTTGTATAGTGCAAAAGAAATAATTGAAAACCAATTTTTTTTGCTGTAAAAGGTTTTCGATATTAGTCAAAATTTATGCCGATGCACTACTTTTTTTAATTAGAAACATATGTGTACAGGGTCAAAACTCAAATACATCATTTTCTCATTTTTTTAAATTGACGATTTAAAAGTACCTAAACTAAAGTTTTATTTGAGTTAAGGATTCCCGATACCTAATAATTTTTTTTAGAGATTTTTAAATGTAAATGTGAAAATACTCTACTTTTAAGTGCTCACTTGTTAGTTAATAGGAAAGACTTTTTGTTAATTGATAATTAGAATTTAACCAGCTATAATTTATTATCCACTGAATACGTTTTTGACAATACCTAATGCGACTTTTACATTTAATAAAAAAATAGCAACCGAAAACTTCACATAATACCTACTTTATTCTTAAGTTAAGTGTTATTTTAACAGTTTTTATCTAAATAGCTTTCAATAATATTTATGGAGTTCTTAACGTTGGTTTCAAAGGCCCATCTCACATTTGTAGGCATTTTTTAGGTAACTCGAAATACTACTCTTATTCACGACTAAAGGTCACATTAAAAAACTCGCTAGACTTTTTTAAAAATAAATATTGCAACACTAATGACGTAAGTAATAACGAACTATCAGTATTCAGATTTCAAAGTCAACTTAAAAATATAATAAACTTAGAATAAGATAGGTACAGTGGCGAAGCGTTCATTGATGCGGGTGATTCATCGCATCGCTTCAAAATATTGTCAGATAATTTTTTATTAAATAAAATAAATAAGATCTCTTATAATAAATTGAAACTCTCAATAAATTTATTCAAATAATTAACTTTAATTTCAATTATTTAGGTATATGTATATTTGCCGAGCTTTACAGAATACACTACTAGCTACAAATAGAAATATTTCGACAGGCTATGATGCGAGATGCGTCCTCTCTTTTTACATTTTGAACGCTTGGTGGGGCAAGCTGAGGTCATCGAACTATCCGGTCGTGATTTCGCGTTTCAGGATTCCAGTTCACTGTTTTCTCTGGTGAGTAATGCGGTCTCTTAAACGCATCTCGTTCGTTGTTTATTAATACGCGTAATCGCGTTCTTCCTCTCTATTTGAAGAAAATATAATAAATGTTTTCGCAAATCTGCACACTAGAAGGGTTGATCTTAATTTTAAAATTTAAAATGTAATAGATATGTTCACATTTTTGTTTTTTTTTATAATTTTTTTAACCTACCACATTTTTTTGTATACTTTATTGTAAGTCCAAAATTAAGGAATAATAAAGAAACTTATATAAAATGTGAATCGCAGTTACTCATTACATCCCCTTATATATCGATGTCACGCTACGCCACTGAACAGGTATTATAATGGAGTGAGTCTAGAATTGGTTTTATTTACTTTTTATTCCATAATAAATTATAGTTAGTTAAATTCTAATCACTAACAAATAGTCTATTTCCTGTTAACCAGTAGCCAGTTAAAATTAGGTAAACTATTTTTTTTGTCATTTAAATTTAAAAATCTCCCAAAATTATTAACTTTAGGTACAGGGAAAGCTTAACTTATATGAAACTTTAATTAATGTACTTTTAAATGGTGACATAAAATTAGAAAATGATGTATTTGAGTTTTAACTCACCCTGTACGGTACTTTTTCAACTCGTGCGTTAGCAACTGAAAACTACCTGGGGGGCTATTTTCAAAGTCGAGAGAATTCATTTCTCTCGAGAGAAATGTCATACGTCAACGTAAAACAGTAATTTTTAGGGTCCTAAGGGCCAGTGTGAACTCACTGATTGTTTCTCACGGTTTATTAATTAATATCCTCCTAAGATTTTTAATCCTCGAGGCCTTTAAAAACAGCGTTTCCACATTGACGTATGACATTTTTGATGAGAATCTTGAGAGAAATGAGTGCTCCCATACTTTGAAAATAGCCCCCCTGAATTCGTCGCAACTCGAGCGCCCTCCAAAAATATGTACCTGTTAATTCGCAAATCGGGCGTCCACGGGGCATGAAATTTGACCATAGTTCCTATACCCTGATACCGACTACATTCTGGCGAAAAACTCCAACAAAACAAGGAGTATGACATCATTTATATATACAAAGTAAACTATCGAGAATTTAAGAAAAGTTAGATTTCTCGAATACGTACCATTTTAAGGAAACCATCAATATGATAAAAATTATAGAGAAAACATCACAAGCAACTTTTATTTAAACAATCTTCTTTTCCAAGCGTAAATTAGATACATTTATTAAAATAGAAAAACAACTCTCTATAAATCCATACAGCACGAAAAGATTTAGGAAATATTTCAAAAATGTAACACTGAAATATTTGTAATATAAAAAAGTTTTTCATATGTCGCCAACTGGCTACGTAAGTTAGGAACATGTGAAAATTTTTTTATTATTAATTTAAAAAAATTATTCAACATAAAAAATTCTTCATGACTTAAAACCTAAAATTCAATCAACTGATACTAAATTTTATCACTCGTTTACGAGGTTTGTCAAAAATAAAGGTACTTTATTCTTGGCCAAAATTTATATTTTTTGACGGCTAAAAAAATGTGATATCCGATGGTTGTATTTGAGGTGTTAGACCATGCAGAACTTTTTATGTTGAATATATTTTTCTGATAAAACTAATAATAAAAATGCCTACTTACGTACATTTTTTTTCCTGGGCTCGTCTGACTATGTGTCTCCGAATAACACTGAAGCCTATTGGCTTATTGTGTTTTACCCCATGTTAGTTCATAGCACATGGGGTAACTAACATAACGTACATAAAAAATGTATTAACATAAAATAAAACGAAATTATTCTGTATGAAAATTTAGGCCCAAAACATAGATACCATCCTGAGATGAAGATCATTCTCATTGTTCTAAAAATGGATAAATTAAATAAATTAAAAATTAAATAGTTAGCCGAGGTAAGTTAATTCAATTTAATAAATTATAAAATAGAAAATAAATTGTCATTTTTTCAATAAAACCGAAAAATATAATGTAAAGACTATTTTAGAGGAAAAAGATAAATAAAAAATCTTGTTTTATGAAACTTACAGTAAAACATAATATTTCAAAACCGGCAAGCTCCTCTTGTATAATTTTAAGCCGAAAGGACCTTCTCAGGTAAAATTATATTACTATAATGTTGGTACCGATCCTTGAACGCCCGAGTTGCGAAGGGTATTTAACCTACCTGTAGCCTTTATCGTCCCAAATGCGAAAAATTAAATATTCCCTGTACAGATTTATTTCTAATTGAAAAAACTAGTGCAACGGCATACATTTCGAAAACAATTTACCGCAAAAAACTGGTTTTCAATTGATTCTTTTTCACTATACAGGTCATTGAAATTAATATCTACGCTTTTCATTTAATAGTGGCTGCACCATGTGAAATAGCCTGAGTAATCACATACTGGGGTCTATTCTGTAACAATTCCTTTATTTAACGGCCTTTAAAAATATTGGCGACCTTTAAAAATATATTCGTATTCGTTAATTTACTTCTGTCATTATTTAAACAGATTTCTTTAAGATAGTCCTCTAATGTATTTTAAAGATCCGTATAAATAATGACAGAAGTAAAGAAGAAAATATTTTTTAAGGCCGTTAAATATAAAGGAATTGTTACAGAATAGACCCCACTATTTGGTATTGTTATAATAATATAATAAAATAAGCGGTGTCCCATTAAAAAAAACTAACTTTGTTATTTATCACTTTTTGAATAACCCTGTATAATTGAAATCAGATACTTTTGACTCCACAGACCGAGGAGTTACCAGTGGCCCACCCTGTATATATTTTTGGAAAGAGGAAGAAATGGTATTTCCGAGGACATTAAAAATTATAGGGTGTTCTATTTAAAGTTAATTTTTTTTTCGGCCCTTTCCACAAAAGAACATGTGATAACAGTGTCAACAAAACTTAAAGTACATTTATGAAGTATAGTGAAAAGGGCAAGTCGATATCTTTTTCCGTTCTCGAGTTATGTTGTTAAAAATGTATCAATTTATAGATGGACACCTTGTATTGTGCAGGGGTTTGGTAACACCCTGTAGAATGATAAACCTAACTATACTGGTCTTATTAAATTTACATGAGTAATAAACAAGTATAGGTATAACTAATAAACATATTTTTCCTATTTGTACCTATTTTTAAATTTAATGGCATTTATTAATTTTTCAATTAAAGTCAAAAATAAATAAAACCCCATGCTTCCCCCAAAAAATATCTACCGTGGAATTAAGTTCTTATTTTCGTATCGCAAAACAACATTAAAAAAAAACCTTTAATCCGCCAATGACCACCTCGTAATAAAATCATTATCATAATTATTTTTACAACTGTTGCGTTAATATGCGTGTTATGTCATTATACAAGATTCCCGATGCCGCTTTAGAATAATACAAAAGCATGGAGTGAGCGCGCATGTACAAATAATAAAGCCAACTTTGATCATAATCTAACGTGTCGACCAGGTTTTTGAACCTACGAAACTAACAATACTTATTCCAACTCTTCTCAGCAGAAATAAGAGTAAGACCGCATCGGTCTAAAAGCGGAGATCTTGCTAATATTATTATGTTCAACTTCAAACATTTCAAATATTTTAAACCATTTTTACTTGAGTGCGTGGAAAATAATGTGCGGTTTTCTTCAAGTTTTGAAAATATACCCTCGCCGAGGGGCCTGCCGTTGCTCGGTACGACCCTATCGCTAATTTTGGCAGGAGGACCTAGTATACTTCACAAATACATGGATAAAAGACATAAGGAATTGGGACCTATTTTTAAAGATAACGTGGGACCTGTCCAAGCAGTATTTTTAGCCGATCCTGATGAAATGATGACTGTTTTTGCGAAAGAAGGTATGATCAATTTAAAATATTAAATTTAAAATGCAAAATATTTTTAAAAATCATCAATTTTGTCAAGAGTTGTTTTAAATTTATTTTTATTTTAAATATTTATTTAATTTAAAGATTTGCGTTTTCAAGTGTGTAAATATTTATTTAGTAATCTATTTAGTCAGTTAAGTAAATTTTCGGTTTAAAAAGTCATCAACAGGACAGTACAAATAATATTTTAAACTTTGACAATCAATTTTTTTTAAATTACAAACTATAAAAACACTTCTATAATAGACAAAAAGCCACTAAAATTTTTATTATTTAAAGTAAAAGAAGCATTATTAAATTAAAATTTAAAAGTAACACATGAAGCTTCCCTTACAACACCTAAAATAAATATTTAAGTACTGGTTTAAAATAAATAAACACAAACTCAAATTTTGATTTGATTTTTATTTAAAAATAATACTTTGTATAAACAAATAATTTTCTAAATTTATTGAAAGACGCTACTGCAGTTCTTTGGTAGGACCCTAAAAAACTACTGCAATACAGGGTATTTAATAAGTTAGGTTTTTCTTTTTTATTGTGTATATTAAAATAAACAACTTTTTTAAAAAATCTCAAAATAAAATTACAAGGTTTTAACAGGTTCAGTGCCAACTGGGCCAGAGCACTCTCTACCCAGAACTCAACATTAACCTTTATAATAAAATTGTAAAATATGATCTATATTTTGGATATATTTAAAAAATATCTGTCACATTGACATATTTTATAATCACTGTCTAGTTAACTAAATACAGATCTATTTTTTCCATATTCATAGCCAGGGTCCAGATATAGGTAAAATAGCCAACAATTTGATATGAGTAAAATATTTTCAGGGCAAATACGTATATTTAATATTTAAGGGATGTCAAGTTAACTGTACGCGGGCTGTCATTAGAAACTCTTGCGTCCACTAAACTGGACACAAGGCGTCTAATAAACTGGACATGGACCTATCATTAGAAACTCTTGCGTCCAGTAAACTGGAGAAAGGCACCGAACCTGTTAAGCCTGGCGAACTCGGAGGCTACGCAACTTGCACATTTGGTTTATCCACCCATTTGAGAAAGTAATGTCCAGTTTCCCGAAAAAATTGTTTATTTAAATGACAGTTAAAAAAGAAGTCTCCTGAAAAACTGTATGTACGGTACTTTCAAAACATTTTTATATTATTATAATAAAAATTTTATAAAATATTCCAAAAAGATTCTAATAATATTCTTAAAATATTCTAAAAATATTTTAAAAATATTTTAAAATATTCTTAAAATATTCTTAAAATATTCTTAAAATATTCTTAAAATATTCTTAAAATATTCTTAAAATATTCTTAAAATATTCTTAAAATATTCTTAAAATATTCTTAAAATATTCTTAAAATATTCTTAAAATATTCTTAAAATATTCTTAAAATATTCTTAAAATATTCTTAAAATATTCTTAAAATATTCTTAAAATATTCTTAAAATATTCTTAAAAATATTCTTAAAATATTCTTAAAATATTCTTAAAATATTCTTAAAATATTCTTAAAATATTCTTAAAATATTCTTAAAATATTCTTAAAATATTCTTAAAATATTCTTAAAATATTCTTAAAATATTCTTAAAATATTCTTAAAATATTCTTAAAATATTCTTAAAATATTCTTAAAATATTCTTAAAATATTCTTAAAATATTCTTAAAATTATTCTTAAAATATTCTTAAAATATCTTAAAATATTCTTAAAATATTCTTAAAATATTCTTAAAATATTCTTAAAATATTCTTAAAATATTCTTAAAATATTCTTAAAATATTCTTAAAATATTCTTAAAATATTCTTAAATATTCTTAAAATATTCTTAAAATATTCTTAAAATATTCTTAAAATATTCTTAAAATATTCTTAAAATATTCTTAAAATATTCTTAAAATATTCTTAAAATATTCTTAAAAATATTCTTAAAATATTCTTAAAATATTCTTAAAATATTCTTAAAATATTCTTAAAATATTCTTAAAATATTCTTAAAATATTCTTAAAATATTCTTAAAATATTCTTAAAATATTCTTAAAATATTCTTAAAATATTCTTAAAATATTCTTAAAATATTCTTAAAATATTCTTAAAATATTCTTAAAATATTCTTAAAATATTCTTAAAATATTAAAATATTCTTAAAATATTCTTAAAATATTCTTAAAATATTCTTAAAATATTCTTAAAATATTCTTAAAATATTCTTAAAATATTCTTAAAAATATTCTTAAAATATTCTTAAAATTAATTCTTAAAATATTCTTAAAATATTCTTAAAATATTCTTAAAATATTCTTAAAATATTCTTAAAATATTCTTAAAATATTCTTAAAATATTCTTAAAATATTCTTAAAATATTCTTAAAATATTCTTAAAATATTCTTAAAATATTCTTAAAATATTCTTAAAATATTCTTAAAATATTCTTAAAATATTCTTAAAATATTCTTAAAATATTCTTAAAATATATCTTTAAAATATTCTTAAAATATTCTTAAAATATTCTTAAAATATTCTTAAAATATTCTTAAAATATTCTTAAAATATTCTTAAAATATTCTTAAAATATTCTTAAAATATTCTTAAAATATTCTTAAAATATTCTTAAAAATATTCTTAAAATATTCTTAAAATATTCTTAAAATATTCTTAAAATATTCTTAAAATATTCTTAAAATATTCTTAAAATATTCTTAAAATATTCTTAAAATATTCTTAAATTAAAATATTCTTAAAATATTCTTAAAATATTCTTAAAATATTCTTAAAATATTCTTAAAATATTCTTAAAATATTCTTAAAATATTCTTAAAATATTCTTAAAATATTCTTAAAATATTCTTAAAATATTCTTAAAATATTCTTAAAATATTCTTAAAATATTCTTAAAATATTCTTAAAATATTCTTAAAATATTCTTAAAATATTCTTAAAATATTCTTAAAATATTCTTAAAATATTCTTAAAATAATTCTTAAAATATTCTTAAAATATTCTTAAAAATATTCTTAAAATATTCTTAAAATATTCTTAAAATATTCTTAAAATATTCTTAAAATATTCTTAAAATATTCTTAAAATATTCTTAAAATATTCTTAAAATATTCTTAAAATATTCTTAAAATATTCTTAAAATATTCTTAAAATATTCTTAAAATATTCTTAAAATATTCTTAAAATATTCTTAAAATATTCTTAAAATATTCTTAAAATATTCTTAAAATATTCTTAAAATATTCTTAAAATATTCTTAAAATATTCTTAAAATATTCTTAAAATATTCTTAAAATATTCTTAAAATATTCTTAAAATATTCTTAAAATATTCTTAAAATATTCTTAAAATATTCTTAAAATATTCTTAAAATATTCTTAAAATATTCTTAAAATAATCTTAAAATATTCTTAAAATATTCTTAAAATATTCTTAAAATATTCTTAAAATATTCTTAAAATATTCTTAAAATATTCTTAAAAATATTCTTAAAATATTCTTAAAATTATTCTTAAAATATTCTTAAAATATTCTTAAAATATTCTTAAAATATTCTTAAAATATTCTTAAAATATTCTTAAAATATTCTTAAAATATTCTTAAAATATTCTTAAAATATTCTTAAAATATTCTTAAAATATTCTTAAAATATTCTTAAAATATTCTTAAAATATTCTTAAAATATTCTTAAAATATTCTTAAAATATTCTTAAAATATTCTAAAAATATTCATTTTTATACCCTAAAAATAATAATATAATATTCTAAAAATAATCTCAGGTTATTCTTCTATTCCAAAGAATTTAATTTTTTTCTAATTTTGACATACAATGACATATTTTGTAATCGCAGCAATTATAAAAATAATCTACTTTATGCAATCATTTGCATAATGTTGAATATTGTGAAAGTGGTTACAGAAACTTCATTATGTAACCAGTTGCGAAAAGATAAGAAATAAAACTAAATCTTTTTTTATTCAAATTCAATATATACATTATTTGTTAATTGACTATATAAAAATAGAATTTGGCTAAACAACCTAGTAATAATATTGTTTCGGTTCTGTCTGTCCATTTTAAATCAGCACAAAATAATTAAAACACAATACACGATAAAAATAACTCAATTTTTATAGAACTTAATAACTTTAACGAGCAATATAAACACACTGAAACAAGTCGTTGAGAATAAATTAATATGATGTCGATAAAAAGAATGAAGTTATGCATATGTAACTAACAATACAAGAAAGTTATATTGGTTGCATAGATGTCAGTAATTTTCCACCAACACACAATTTTATAAATACTCTAGACAAAATTTGAAAAGTTATTGTATGTAACACCTTAGGAAATGCTGTTTTATGTAACTCGTTCATGTTGCGGGACCCCACTCTACTTGTCCCGCAAATACAAGTAGTCTCTGGTTACATAAAATAAGGCATTTAGTAAGTGGTTATTACAATATTCTAAAACTGTTTATGGGAGATACCAGAATAGTCTGCCAAATATTTATAGAACAATCATAGAATATTAGAAACAGTCTACTTCGTATTTGCATAGAACATTCTAAGAATTTTGTAGAATGTTGATAGAATATTTTGGGAATATTACATTCTTTAAGAATATTCTAATAATATTCTATAGACATAGGTACTTGTGCTGTCTGAGATCGAGACTAGATATGTCAAAATACTTTTATTTACCATCTAGCACATTTTAATTTTGAAAACGTCACAGATTATATGGAATTATGGCCTGTCGTAAATGTTTAGCATATTTTGATATTATAAAGTTACTGCCACTTGAGAGAAAATTATGGAATAATATGAGGTAGAAGATAGAGTGCCTTTCAAAGAACGTAAGTTTCCCATAGCCCCGATAAAATTATTGCTCAAAACTGGAAAAGTATTCAACAGTTTTTAACGTTTCTGTTCTCGTTTG